CACACACACACACACACACACACACACACACACACACACACACACACACCTCATCTGTTAAATTGTGTTCAGTGCCATCCTGAGCTCTCCCTTTCCTGATGAGAGACATGAAGAAGGCCATCTGAAGCCTGGCACGGGTCACTTCCTGTTGCAGACAGGAAGGGGAAGTGAGGGAGAGCGAATGGAGGGCTCTTGGGACACACAATCACATCTAACAATCTAACAGTGGCTTTAATCCAGATCAGAGTGCATCTGTGTGTAGCTTCCTTTCAAGGGCATTGTACAATTGTGGAAAACATCTTTTGGAAAACTTCCCTACATGTACCAATTTAGAACAAAACTGTTTACCAAGGTCTATTTAATAAATACCAGTACCAATATCAGCACCCTGAAAGTGCTGCCGATACCAACTGAGTACTTCATTCGATGCCACTCGAAGCCGTTTACAACACCTGACATCAGCTGTTCTTATCATGTGTATGAGGAACTTGCTTCCCACACAGTGGACAGCCTCCTTTTAATGATTATCATCATATCATTATCATATCATGATGATCAGGTCATGGAAACTTTTGTAAAAAACATGTATACAGACTGTCGATTGACGACACACGTCCAGGTACTGATGAAGGAAAGATCTAAGGGAGGCGGTATTCAGCAGAATTAGCCTAAACGAAGATGAAAGCGATGCGGAGGGAATGAATCACGTACAGGAGGAAGTAACACAGCGTGTGCGGCACTCATCTGAACGACTGATTTATCTGAAGTGGTACCGTAACAGGCCGGGACAAACCGACCATGTTTTCTTACACAAAGAAAGGAATAACTTAATGTACCTTACACCTGCAGAGTTTACCACAAGGTTTTTCTGAAGCTGAACAAAAAGGAGTAATTATCAGGAGAGTCTGGGGATTTCATTCCCGGACAACAAAAGGATCAAATTGTGTTTGCGGTTTACTGTATTATTTGTCATATTTGACGCGTTTACCACCAATAAAATTGCATCCGTTTCATAATTGCAGTGTAATGAAGTCAGTTGAAAGGGCTGTACCGAATGTCATTGTTTTACTAAGCTTCTATTGAGGTCTGTCATCCCAGTTTATGATGTCATCATCCTAAAAAATGGGGGGAAATATCATTTACGTTATGTTTAAGTTATTGTGGTTGTACAAGTCCACCTCCGCAGTAATACAGCTGCGTCCTCCCTTTGTGTGAGGCAAGCAGGAGAGAAAACAGTGTTTGACCACAGGAGGAATGTTGCTTTTAAAAGGCCAGACGGCGAGAAATATGGATCCAAAATACACGTTTTTAATCTATCAATTTGGTCTTCTGGAATAAAAAAACTGAGCGCTGCGTTGCTCGCTGTGCAGGCAGGTAATCCCGGCTGTATGGGTTGGAGCCGCTGGATCGATTGCCGGTATCGTTTTAATATGAATTAAGTAATATTAAAAGAAACCTCTTGACATGTATGTGTGTATGTCTTGTTTGGAATGTGTGTCCATGTAGTATTTTAAGCTCTCGGAATCTATTCTTAGCATTGGCAATCATACAGTTTTATTGATGTAATCACTCCCCTCTGCATCTTATGGAGGGTAACAACAGGATATCTGGACACACACACACACACACACGCACGCTGACTACACGTACACATTAAGCTCATTTTTAAAGGACAATGAAAATGTGGAAACTGGGCTCCAACTACAATGGTACCTGAAACATTTCAGGTGTCACATATTGGTCACTGTGTTTCTCCTCCACAGAGATTCAATGATGTTAAAATGGGTGACTATGAACTAAGGATTAAGAGTATCACGCCTCATAAGAACTAAGAATTGGTCACGTTGACAAACACAGACCTAGCGAGTGGTGATGCTAAGCGGTACTCTGCAAACAACCATGTGTCCAGTGCACATCTCAAAGGTTAGTTTCCAGGTTTAGCTCCACCCAAGGTAGGATATAAGTTGTGTATCTTAGGTGCATTAGGATGTTCAGTCTGCTTTGCACTAGCTTACACGACTCTGGAATTTTCCATCAAAGGATCTGGGTGTAAATACTCACACACACACACACACACACACACACACACACACACACACACACAC